CCTACCAAGTTTTTTTCGATCTCTCAATTTTCCTTATTTTATAATCTGAAAAACTAAACCTTGTAGCAATTACGTTGCAATCCAAACCCCTCCATTCAGAAGGTTATATTTTTCAGAAGCGGTCTCATGGAACCGGACACCAAAATTTTAAAAATTCAAATAGTTTTCTTCCTAAAAAGTATTTGAAATGTTGCGATGTTCAATATTTCAAAAAATCGTCCCGTTGTTCCGTTTTTTGTGCACACGCGAGTTTTCGACATTCAAACATTCATAACTTTCTTCATACAACTTTTTGCAGATGTCTAAGGCTAATTAGAAACTAGAAGATTAGCGGGTGAAACTCGGTTCGGGGGCGGGGGCCACGCGATGGCGCGGCGCTGTTTTCGTCTGCTCTACCAAGGCTTAGTCACCGATGGCGCGTATTTTGAAACTGCCACATAATGGCGAAAGAGTAGGAGCAGACGAACAGAGCGCCGCGCCATCGCGTGCCCCCCCCCCCGAACCCGAGCTTCACCGATTGGCGCTTGCAAACAAGCACCTGAATTTTTTCCAGCGATCACTCTTTCAAAAAATAGTCCCGTTGTTCCGTTTTTGGGGGGTTTGTGGTCCGATTTTTGAGAAGGCGCGAGTTTTCGACATTCAAACGTTCATAACTTTCTTCATAATCAACTTTTTGCAGATGTCTAAGGCTAATTAGAAACTAGAAGATTAGAGCTTTCGAATAAGGGCTAAAACTTCTTTGAATTCCGCTGTTCCATTTTTTTCCCTTGACTTTTTTCCTGGACCGCGACTTTGCAGTCTTCAAAGGCCCATAACTTCCTTCAAAATTAATGTGATGAGAAGCGGTAAAGACTGTTAGAATCCAGCGAAGAGTACTTCATAAAAGTGTAAAATTTCCCTGAAATTCTTTCTTCTGCCTCAATTTCCTAAGGGTTCTAGAACTCAATTCAGCAAGTTCGCTACACTTTGTTCCGCTTAGATTTGATTTGAAAGCATCGAAATTCTCTTCAGGAAGTTTGTCTGCTTACGGCCGCTGACAGAGAAGGCGTTTTTGTGGGAAAACGCCTGCTCGGGTATACGCCGTGCACCTGTCTGTGGGCAGAAGTCGCACTCGCATTTGAAAGTCCTCCATTTTCCTGAAGAAGGTGTTAGTATCGTGATTGAGTTGCATTGTGTTTATATGGTACTCTTGTTTCACTTCCCCCATGAACTGCTCTACACTTTGTTCTCCTTGGGATTTCAGGAATGTTCGATCATCGAAGACAGACCATGTTTTTGCACTACGCTGTAACAAAGTTTTTGGCTATTGTAATCTTGATCTATGCTGTCGAGTGTATTAAGGATAATAATGGCTGATGAGACTTATAATGCTCTGCATGCTCTAATGCTCCCATGGAGCTCTTGTCTGTGTGACTCTCCGACAGCTGCACGGTGCAGAGCTCCTGGAGAACATTAGAGCGTGAAAGTGCACTGCGGACACTGCACTTTTCAAGCCGTCTTGCAGCCCGTCTCTGGATACGACCCCCTCCCCTTTCGTTCGACCGAATACGACCCCCTCGTTGTTCTTTGCGCAACGCGCGGTTGACCCTGGTTCTGAGCAGTTTCTCATGGTTTTTCCTTCCTTTGTGTACCACTCACCACCCTAGGTTAATTTGAAATGAGATGCCTTTCCAGCGTGAAGTCGTCATTCAAATCATATTCAAAGTATTTGCTGACATTCAGCGTTAGATTCTATTCTGAGTTTTTTCCTCAATATTGGAGACAAAGGATGGGCCCAGCCCTACTAAGCAAGTTCTTCTCGTGAGCGGCGGTGCTAGGTCCGCAACTGTGGAGGTTAAGTCAAAGTAGCATCTCGAAACGCCTCACTAAGGGGCTAGACCGGTACGGTTTCGAATCGCCGACGCCTAGTCAATCCCTAGTCGGCCGTCCGCGCTTCGAATCATATTCCCTGTGTGTATACATAATTGATCATCTGTATTCTCTCGAATCAAAAATCTCCCCTGCATCTTCTGCCTCCTAGACTTCTCCGCAGCGTAGAGCAAAAAGATTTTCACTGGGTTGTCTCATGATTCCTGTCCGAATTTTGACACTTTCCTTTATCCGAGTTTTCTATCTCCTAAGGAGCAACTGATCGAAAGCATGACCACCACCATGGTCACTGATATTCATGCATTTGCTAGGGAATCTTTGGAAGCTTGTGCCTAAATGAAGGAAGCTGGAGCAGAAGAATTTGAAGGAAGTCGTTTTTGGGGTTGTCGTATTCCTTGAATTTTTTCTCTCGTGGGTGCTGAGTCAGGGCACAGGGATATCCCGGCGGAGCGTTGCCAGTGCTACGCGGTGGATGTGGTGTCATGGCATTACCTATCTCCCTAAGAATGTAGCGAGTTTGCAGTGCAGTGTCGGGCGCTCATTTAGGAGAAAGGAGATTTAGCAACGTTTCTGACCATTCGCTCACACAAATGAAGGCAATCTGGAGAGCTGTTGTATGCTGACTTCCTCAATGCTTATCATTATACCAGTTGGCGCCGCACGCATTGCGCGCACAACACAGATCTGCGGCGAATTTTGATGGTGCGACGAAAATTTTCAAATTTGGCTTGATACAATACGAATATCTGAATTCTCAGCTAAATTCTATCCGCTCCATCATCGACGGCTTTCAACCTCGTTTTTCAACCATTATCCTCTTTTTCTCGGTCTCGGACTGCTTCCGGACAATAAATCTCGTGGCAAACTCCGCCTACTTCGGTGCGTGCCCCGCCCACCAATAGCATTTGGCCCCCTTCCTTTCGCCGACCTCTACCCCTTTTTCCCCTATCTCTAGGACTTCTTGGAACCGAGTTATGACACTTTTGGCAAACTCCGCCCACTTTGGTCAAGCCCCGCCCACCGATGACAGCTGGCCTCCACTCCTCCACCCACCTCTATCCACCTTTTTCCGGCTCTTAAGACTTCCCCGGCCCGAATTATGAGGACTTGTAGAAAATGCTGTACACTTCAGAGCGCGCTCCCCCATTGTGGGCGGCCTCCGCCCACGTCATGTATGCTGGGAACACCTTAGACATTGCTCCCCTACACCAATTGTTTTCTGCTCTGTAGGCTTTCTCCCAACCGAGTTATGAAATTTTTCATAAAGCACTGCTTTTTTGGAGAACGCCCCGGGTCTCCCTAATTCGATGACTTACCAATGCACACCTTTACCCACTTTTTGGCCCAGTTTCGAGGTCGTTTTGTAAGAGAATTGAAAATCTTGGTCGTCAGTACACTTCATTTCGACGCACGCCACGCCCACTGTGGGCGGGGCTCCGCTTAGCTGATGTGTGTTTTGTACTTCGTGAGACCTTGCCCACCCATCCCACACTTGACCCGGTCCCTCCAGGCGGATCCCGAGGAGCTAGGGAATTTCGTGACAGACATACAGAACGACAGACGAAGCGCTTTATAGTATGTAAAGGTGGTTTCTTGACCAGGCAACCCAGGGAATACAACGAATTGGAAGTTGTATCCTCTGAACACGAAGCTTGGTCACACGGAGCTTTGTTGGGTTAGTGGTTCTTGGCTGCGATATAATCATCAGTTTTACCGCGTGTTGTAGTCGTAGTGGCCTCATCTCCACTGGTGACTGAAAAGGCTCTGCTTATACGGCCGCAGAGTGAAATTTCCCAGACGGTCAGGCGTGCTTCTTGGTCATGGTCGGTATGATTTGCATCAAGTCTTCATTCTGCTACATCCCTATTCCTCCTGATAGCGGTTGCTTAGTTCATCGGCTGCGCCCAGGTGTCTGCTACAATACCATCGTTGGTATAATAATGCCGTGCACCCTGCACAATTTATCTCAGCAGAGGCCTTGTACGGAACGCCGTGTGTAGATGTCAATGTCACATCTCTCTTTTAGGCTGGTTTCGCAACATTTTAGTGTTAACGTATTTTACGTTATGTATGCCCAGTTAACTTAGGCGTGGTTCCTGGAAGGAAGCTCCGGTTGATGGGCTATCGAGTTTTTCCAAAAATGGTTTGAATAATGATCAAATCACAGGAATCGCTAAAATGACCAAAATCGCATAATCGGAGACCTACCACACAAGAAAGATAACAAATACACACTTCCTGAGGAAAAAAGAGTTCTCGTGGAACCGTTTGACATGATGTCCATGTCACACTCGCGCGGTCAAAATAATGCGCGCGCTGGTCCCACACGGTCGTATAGCTGCATATCCCTGTATGGTCCAGAACAGCGGGAAAAAGGTAGCGCGCGTCTCAACCGGTTGCAGGGAGGTTTCATCAAAAGTGGTCGGGGACCCAGTGTGAGATTTACCTTCACAGCTCGTATCGTCTATGCCGCTGCGATTGGACCACTAGCTCCGTACCCGATCAGAAGCAGAGACATGGCAAACATCTGTTCCCATATACCGTCCTGTTACAGCTTTCATGTTGAAATCGTAATATTGAACCGTATTTGTTACCCCTTCTGCGGGCTTTACTCTCACCATAGAAGCAACATTGTTAAGCTCTTGAAGATCTGTTGCCAAACAATTGAACGTATTTGCCAATGGAGAATCGATTCTTAGACCAATAAATTGAAATTTTGATTGAAAGGGGGTAAAGACAGGAATTGAGACAACCCAATATTCCTTCCATTTCCAACAGTATTTCTTCTTTTACCCTACTTTGTTTCCAGTTTGCACCCGTACGTTCGTACTCGAGCGGGATTACCACGCCAAATTGACCCTGACCTTTGCCTTTGATTCTGAACTTCGTCTAGATATGCTGCAACCGCATAAGCGCTTAAAATTCTCCACACGTTCACTTGTTCACTAGAGAAATACGGGACAGGGATAACTTCTCGCACAACAAACGTGCATGTGTAATCCTTTTTGCTTTGATATGAAGCCCTCACTGCAATCACTCAAGGTTCGTTCGGGCCGTAATACTATTGTTTTTGTGATGTGAGTAACATGGTTAGAAACTTGTTATTTTTCAGGTATGAGCTTTCTGAGAGTATGAACTACCAGCTCATTGTGGCCCTTCAGCATGTCTACATCCTGCCAAGTCTACTGCTGTATTTGGCCCAGTTCTGCTATATCGTCTCTTCACGAGACAATGAATTTTCCACCTCCTTCTACTACATTTTTTTGATACGCGGTCAGCAATAAAAGTTTATAAAAAAGTTTATAAAAGTTCGCATAAAATCCCCTATTAGGGTTAGGCCTCGGTTCACTATGCTGCCTTAGATAATGTAGCACTCAGAGAGGCTGAGCGAAACTAATCTCTGTGGGAGACGAACGGGGACATTCTCTCCTGGATCAATGGTGCTATTCGTACCATATGAGAAAGTTGAATTGTGAATATTACGCGAGAAAAAAAAAGTGAAACTCAAAGGCGGTGATCACGAAGGCTGGAGGGTGGTGCGATCTAGCCTACCGATGACGTTCAATGATGTCATCGAAACCTAGCGCCCTCTAGTCATCATGACCACTGCCTTTGAATGGTATCCTGAGGATTTTTCCCTTTGAAATGCAGCCGTCCATGACAAGCTGTAGTCGGAACCAGATAAAATGTATATACCATTTGCTCGTTTGGCTACTTGTCAAATGGAATATCATTCTTTTTAGCTCCAGCAGACATAATTCAAGTAACAGCCAGTCTGGTAGCGTATCGGTATCCGTTGGCTGGATGGAAGGCAGTTCTTGACAAGCCGTATATGGCTAAGGTTAGTCCTTTGCATTGACTGAAACCGTGGAATCGTCGATGTTCTCGTTCTTTATAAATGATCCTGCGAAACAGAAATTTGATATTTATAGATTGGATCTGTACTCACAAACTTCTCTTGCAACATAGAGCTCTTCTCTCAGTTGATGCTGTCGATTAATAGACTGACTGCTGTTTACTTTCCAGGGAAGCATAGTGGCGTGAGTCGAGCCTTTCGCATATAGCGCTCTTCTGTGTTAACCCAAGAGAGTACTGTATTTGATTCAAAACCTCCCACCTGGAGTGCAGGCTGTTTTCGGGACGAAAATG